GCTCAGTTTTGGGAAAACTTCGCCGAGGTGGAGAATTGTGGAGAAGAATTGGAAAAAGCAGATTTTTGGTCATAAGTCGACTCATGCACAGGCATAAGTCGACTTATGGTAAGTCGACTTATGTTGGTGCATGAGTCGACTTACGTTCTGCTCTGGATTGTTGGTTTTTTGCTCTGCCAAGTCGACTTATCAGGTCTGATAAGTCGACTTATGATCTCTTCTCCAGTTGCTGTTTTTCGCTCTGCCAAGTCGACTTATGCAGACTGATAAGTCGACTTATGACGGGTTTTTTGGAAAGTTCAGGTTCCTATTTGCAGTCTGTTTGGGTTTCTGTTTTGGTATAAATACCAATACGATTTGAGGGTTTTGTGAGGAGAGTTTTGGGGTTTTGGAGCACAGAAAAAGAGAGATCTTTCTGAGCTATTTGTTAGGGTTATTGGTTGAGAGATTGAGAGATTTGTTGGTGAGATTAGTTGGTTCGATTGAGCGATTTGTAATATCAATTTGTACTCTCCTTCTCTATTAGTGAAAACCCACCCCCCCCCTTCTTGCCCCGTGGACGTAGGCAATTGCCGAACCACGTAAAACTTTGGTGTTTGTGTTTTGTTTGGTCTTTCTCTCGGCGTTTGTTGGTTTGGTTTCTCAAAGCATCATAGTTGGTTATTTGTTTGGCTTCCGCGCCGTGCACAACAAGTGGTATCAGAGCTCGGGCTACGCTTGGGCTATTTGGAGGAGTAGATCGCTTTGGAAGTTCATCTAGGGTTTCGTTTGGTGATAAATGTGGGATCTTTTTGGTAAAAATCTCGTCTTTTTCAGTTTGGATCTATTTCTCGTTTGTTTCCGCGTTGGTTTGGTGGTGCTTTGAGGATTATGGCCGAGAAAGAAGGAGTTGTAGGCAGTACTTCCGGCGTGAAGACCGTCCAAAGCTTGAATATCCACTCGATGAAGATTGACGTGGAAAAGTTCAATGGCACAAACAATTTTGGACTTTGGCGATGCGAAGTCATGGATGCGCTCAACGCGCAAAATTTGGAAGATACGTTGGAGTTGGACGGGAAACCGGACAACATTGATGAGAAGGTTTGGAAAAAGATGAATCGAACGGTGTGTGGTGTAATTAGGTCTTGTCTCACTCAAGATCTAAAGTATGATGTGATCAATGAGACTTTTGCAAAGAAGATTTGGGAGATCCTTGAGAGCAAGTATTTGACCAAGAGTGTGGAGAATCGCTTGCATTTGAAGAGGAGGCTTTACCGCTTCCAGTTGAAGAAAGGAACCTCCATTGGTGATCACATGAACCACTACACGAAGCTTCTTGCGGATTTGGCGAATGTGGATGTTAAGATTGAAGATGAGGACAAGGCGTTGTTGCTATTGAGTTCCTTGCCTGACGAGGAATATGAGACCTTCGTTCTTACTCTTATTAATGGGAAGGCATCTCTTTCGTATAGTGAGGTCACCGCTGCACTTGTGAATTATCAGCTTCGAAAGAAGGATAAGGAGACTTCGTTTGAGCCGGTAGCGGGGGCGTTGGTCGCAAGAGCAAAGGGTCCAAACCGTAGTGGGAGGTCGCAGTCTAGAGGGGCACATCTTGGAGTTCGTAAGAATCAATGTGCCTTTTGCAAAGAAGATGGACATTGGAAAGCCGATTGCCCAAAGTTAGTTGATCGAGCCGGGAAGAATAAGGGAAAAGCTATTCAAGCTTCAGAGGCGAATGTTGTCAAGGCTAGTGGCAACGATTCAGATTCGGATTCTTCGGGCTACTCGTTATCTGCACTGCCGTCAGTTTGTGTTGCCTACTCTACAGAGTGGATATTGGATTCGGGTGCTACATACCACATTTGCCCTAGGAGGGATTGGTTCTCCAGCTTTCAGGAGTTGGAAAGAGGGGATTTCGTGCTCATGGGGAATGATCACAAATGCTCTATTGGTGGTATTGGTACTGTTCGGATCAGGATGAGTGACGGGGTGATTCGGGAGTTGGTTGGAGTGAGGTTCGTTCCTCAGTTGAAGAAGAACATCATTTCACTTGGAGCTTTGGAGGCAGCTGGCTATAGGGTGACCTTGGCGGATGCACGCTTGAAGGTTACATTTGGGTCCATGATTGTGATGAAGGGCGTCAGAAGAAGAAATTTGTATTATTTGCACGGAAGCACGGTGATTGATAGGGAAATGACGACTTCATCAGATTCGGCTAGACTGTGGCATTGTTTGGTGCTGGGGTATATGATTGGTAATACCGTGCATTGGTTGTTGAGGAGTGCTATGACCTGCAGATTGAAGTCCTGTGAGCACATTAGGATGAGCGAGACCGTGGTGGAGTTTGGCACTTCTATCCATCGAGCGAGGGGTCTTTTTGGAGGTGTTCAGTCAGGCATTTGGGGGCCTTCCAAGGAGGCATCATTGGGAGGTAATCGTATCTTGGTTTCCACAGTTGGTGATTGTTCTAGGCATTATTGGGTCGCGACCAGTTCCCGTTGGTGTAAAGTCCTAGAAGTCAACAACAATTGGAAGAAGTGTATTGGCAGAAAGGTAACTCATTGTTTCAGCTTTGGTAGGGGTCCTTTCTTGCGTTGGTGCCGAGCTCACGGCAATAGGAGACACTTCATTGGTGTGGAGACTTTGGGGCGACGAGATGAGATGACAGTTTCGATGGGTCGTTCCTTTCTGGAGGAGGATCGGCGTTTGATGTCGAGCATTGGCATTGGTGTGCGGGCTTCGACATATTTGGGTCATCTTATGCATAGGTCGCCGACTGCTGCATTAGGAGTTATTGGATCTGGTGGAGCTGCTTCAGATTTTGGGTTGCGTCGGATATTTGGATACCCAGCATTTGGTCACATTGAGGATGTGAGATTTGATCCGATTGCGCGTTTGGGGTTCGGAGGCTCAGTTGATTATCGTTTGGGAGCTTCTGATTTTGTTCTGAGCAGGTATGTCACTTTTGACTCTCGGCAGGTGGAGAGTGTTGATCAGGTCGTTTGGATATCGCAGCAGGTGGAGAGTGATGCTACTCCACGTTGGGTGGAGATTACTCCACGTACTTCAGATCATACTGCATCATTCGGGACTCCAGCTGAGGTGACACAGGTTGGGGATCATTTGATTTCGGATGCAGATGATGGATTGGTTTTGGATTCGGTGGTAGCTGGTGGACATGATTTGGATACGGCCATTGGTTTACCTCAGATGGAGGTATTTGATTTGTATCAGTTTGGGGCCGCTATCAGCTGCAGATCCGTCGGCGATACTGGGGAAGAGTTGCAGACTTTTCTATTTATTTGAGGGCCTTTGGAGGCCGTTGGATGAACTACGTGAAGGCTTGATTCCTTGGACAAGAGGATACGTAGGCAGTCAGTTTTGATGCAGCCGATTTGGTGAGCGACATCGACATTTGGGGTGAGTGTTCGCACTCCCGTTTGGGTCTCATTATGTGAGGCATTTGTTTGGTTGGTGTCGGCTCAGTTTTGGGAAAACTTCGCCGAGGTGGAGAATTATGGAGAAGAACTTGGAAAAAGCAGATTTTTGGTCATAAGTCGACTCATGCACAGGCATAAGTCGACTTATGGTAAGTCGACTTATACAGACTGTTAAGTCGACTTACGTTCTGCTCTGGATTGTTGGTTTTTTGCTCTGCCAAGTCGACTTATCAGGTCTGATAAGTCGACTTATGATCTCTTCTCCAGTTGCTGTTTTTCGCTCTGCCAAGTCGACTTATGCAGACTGATAAGTCGACTTATGACGGGTTTTTTGGAAAGTTCAGGTTCCTATTTGCAGTCTGTTTGGGTTTCTGTTTTGGTATAAATACCAATACGATTTGAGGGTTTTGTGAGGAGAGTTTTGGGGTTTTGGAGATATATATATATATATATATATATATATATATATATATATATAGAGAGAGAGATAGAGAGAGAGGGGAAACTGGAGGTGCACTGCCAGTTCACAGAAAACGTGCGCTGCAGGGGTTTATTTGCAAAAAACCCAACGATAACTGCTTCCCAAAAATCTTCGTGACTACCAGTTTCTCTCTCCTTCAACAATTTACAAACCCGTGACCTTCTCTCTCTCTCTTTCCCCCCAAATCTGTGTCTTCTCTCCCAAAATCCCCAATCCCAAAATCCCCAAATCTGTGTCTTCTCTCCCCAAAATCTGTGTCAGCCACCGCGAGGATCGACGCCCCCCTTCCGCTCATCCTCTCTCTCTCTCTCTTTCTCTCTCTCTCTCTCTCTCTCTCTCTCTCTCTCTCCGCG